TCTTTTTTTTCTTTTCTTTCGATTTACTCTAAATCTCTACCTTCACTTTATCTTAATATTTCTATAAATATATTCTAAATCTAATCTTTTCTTTATTTTACTTTTTTTTTTATATCTAAAACTCTTTCTCCTCTTACCTATTTCTCTATCTATATCTAACTAAATTATTATAGAAAACCTCTCTCTATTATTCACTTAATATTCTATCTATTATCTTCACTAACTCTAAAAAAAATTTCTAACCCTTACTCTATTCTCTCTCTTCTATAATTCTTACTCTAATCTTTACCTTCGAAAAAAATTCTATAATTCTTATTCTATATACTATTCTCTAATCTATTCTAATTCTTACTTATACTTTTATCTATCCTTTATTTTTATTACTCTCCTTGTTTCTATTCTACACTTATCTCTATTCTTACTCTCACTCTCACTCTAACTCTTATTCTTACTCTTACTCTAAATCCTTTCCCTCTTACTTACTCTTACTCTCTCTCTAATCTTTACTCTTACTCTTACTCTAAACCTCTACTCTTACCCTTACTCTCACCCTCACCCTTACTCTTACCCTCACTCTCACCCTTACTCTCACCCTTACTCTCACTCTCACCCTCACTCTTACTCTAAATCCTTACTCTTATTCTTATCCCTTACTCTAACCCTTATTTCTCACCCTAATTTCTATCTCTTACCCTAACTCTTATCTTTTACTCTAACCCTTTATCTCTTACTCTAACTCTTATTCTTTATCTCTTATTCTTTATTCTAACCCTTATTTCTTATTATTTACTCTAACCCTTATCTCTTATTCTAATTCTTATCCCTTACTCTAATCCTTATCCCTTACTCTAACTCTTATCTCTTATTTCTTACTCTAACTCTTATCCCTTACTCTAACTCTAACTCTTATTCCTTACTCTAAAATCTTATTTTAATCTTCTAACCTCTCTTTTATTACGCTAGACCACGCTTCTACTACCGCTCTAATATCTACTTTCTCTTTAATCTCTTTTCTCTTTCTTAATTTCAAATTTTTTTCCCCTATATATCTCTTCCCGCTTACCTACCCGGAATATATATACCCCCCTCTCCTCCTTCTCTCTTCTTTCCTTCTTTTTTTTCTTCTTAAACTCTACTACTACTCTCTATTATTATCTTTCTTTTATTCTTATTCCCTCTCTTTTTTCTCTTCTATCTATCTTTCTTCTTCTCTTCTATTTTATCTTTTTTCTCTATCTTTCTACTTTTTTCCCTATTTTTTTCCTTTACTTTCTTTATCTCTTCTCTTACTTCTTTACTCTATTTCTTCTTTTCTATTTTCCTTTCCCTCTCTATCTTCTTCTCTACTTCGCTCTATCTCTCTCGTCTTTTTCTTTCCTCTCTTTTACTTTACTTACTTTTTCTTATTTATTTTGTCTATACTATACTCTAATAACTTCTTATATATATTTATATTCTAATTCTACTCTTCTATTTCTATCTATCTATTCTACTCCTCTACTAAACCTATTAACTAATAAAACTCCCCTACTAAACTATTACTCTCTATTCGCTCCAACTATCTCTTTCTACTTAAATATTCCACTAAACTACTTAGACTATACTCCTTCTTTAAATCGACTCTAAACTCTTCTAACTATTACTACTATCGCTACTAAACCTCTCTATTAACCCTAAAAATAATCCCTAAAATTCCCTCTAATAAAACGTTTCTATACTAATACTTACCTCTATTAACCCTTCTTCTCTACCTACTCTACCTATTATCCTCCTACTTGCTGTAAATTGCTTGTAGTACCCCGCAATTAAAATAATCCGAATACCTCTCGTACTGTATTATCTATCTAATCTCTTTAGCTACCTTTCTTACCTTTATACTCTCTATCTACTCGCATTCTATTAATCTGTGGTTACTTAGCCCTAATTACCTCTATTTACATATTCCGTAATATTCTATCTACTTCTATAACCTCTGCCTTAACTATTTAAACTCGCTAAACTCCTTCTACTTCCTCTTAATAAACTCCTCCCTTAGCTACGTTCTTTCTTTCTCCTACCGCCTAAACTTCTTTCTCTTCTCCTTCTCTTCCTCTATACCTCTCGCTGCCCCTTCTTATCTTATATCTCTTTCTATCTCTTCTACTTCTTCTTCTCCTTCTCCTCCTTCTTCTTTAAACCCCTTATAAACGTCACACTTCTCCTCCCCTTCTTTATATCTAACTCTATCTATCTATCTATCTAAATACTTATCTAATACTACCCGCCTATAACTTTTAACCGCCTCCTCGCTACTACTAATATACTTCTTTACTAACCGCTTCTCTTCTTCCGTCTACTCCCTCTCTAACTACTTACTTTCCACCCTATTCTCTACTATAATCGCCTTGCTCCTTCGCCTGTCTCTTCCTACCCTACTACTCTCCTACGCGTAATCTAATAATATCTAGAGCTAGTTCGCGTGCACGACGCACTAGATATCTAGTATATTAATATCTATACCTAATACGTTCGTTACTATAATTACTTATCGCTTCCCCGTCCTAAAGTCCTCTAATATAGCCTTCTTACCTACCGTATTATAGTAAAATACATTATAACTTAACGCTTCCGCGATTATCTTTACCTTTATTATTAAGCTATAATATACTACTACCCTCCCTATACCCTTTATATCCCTTACCTTCTTCTTAATTAATACTAAAACGAACTCCTTCTTATCCGCCTTTCTACTAAACTCGCTAATATCTACTACTTAATATACTACGTTCTTCCTTATTATTCTCTCCCTAAATATCTTAACTAAACGCCTATTAAAATGCATTCTCTTATATAACTCCTTCCTTCTCGCATAGCGGTAATATTACTATTAATAAAACTATCTGCGTCTCCCCTATTACTAGCTTGCCTAACTACTATATCTACTTGCAGAATGTGTACGTCTAGTTTAAAATAATATAGTATTTATTAATAATAATATAGTCTAGCTACTAGGTCGCCTTTAATTAGTTTAAAAATATAGTAAAATCCTTGCTAACCGCTAACTTAGGTGTTACTAATACTACTATAGCTATATCTAGCTAATAGCGCTCTTCCCACTTCTTATATAATATACTAACCTCCTTATATTATCTCTTTATATCCCCTTATAACGCGATTAATAGCACTACTACTACTATCGTCCCGCTACCTTACCCTACTTATACTAGTAATATAAATACTAAACTGTTATCTCCCCTAGTTAGTATTACTACTACTACTAGGCTCTCTTCTACCGTAATTGCCTCGACTACTTCTTTCTAAATACTATAGAACTCAGCCTCCTTCTTATCTATTATCCACTATAACTCTACCTTAGTGTTAATCTTCTATAACCTCTTCTACCTCTCTATCTATTCTTTATCCGCTTTAATATTAAATAGCGCCCGCTTTCTCTTACCTATCGCCTACTATTTCTCTTTAACCTTAATAGCCGCTAAACTAAACCCTAAAAATTGATACTAATCTATACTTAACACCTAGAACTACCGTCTCTTATCTATAACTACCCTAAACTACTCTATAATCGCCTAGGCGTAAATTATACCTATAATATATAATATATACTCTACCTACTCGTCTATAATTACTACTACTATACTATTCTTATTCTATCCCTCGCTATTATCCTCTTCCTCCCTCTTAGACTAGTAGAATGCTATTACTCCGCGTATAAATCGCCTATTAATACTAATTGCAATATTCTAGTATAACTAGATAGTTAACTTCTACCCTAATTTAACTATACTCTCGCGCTTTATTACCTTTCGTATCCTCTCTAACATCTACTTCTTACTATCTATATCCGCCGGCTATATATACGCTAATATAATATCTTTTTTCTATACTATCGCCTCAATTCGCTACTAGAACGGTAATACTAACTATAAATACCACACTAACAACTCGCTAACCTCTATAGGTAAATACTAGTATATAATCTTAATATTACTACTTAATACATACCCCTTATAATATCTTATCGCAAACACTACCAATCTATTCTTAATAAAAACATTCTAGTATCCGCCCTTAGTAGTATTACTATACTAGATACTTAAAATCTTTAGTTCCCTCCTAGGCTAGCCTCTAGTAATATGCGCTAATACTAATAACTTCTCCCTAAACTCGGCTACCTATAATATATACCTCTCTATAGCTACCTAGTCGATCCCCGACTCGCTACCCGGCTTTAAAAACTAGTTATAGATAGCGGCGTCTTACCTAACCTAGTTAAACAACCACGTCTCCCTATTAACTAGTAAATAGCTGCGATAGTCCTATAAAAAACTCTATCCGGGCCGCTTATTAGTTGGATTATCGCGTAATAACTACTATAGGATTTATAATACCTCACTAACGCGCTACTTATTACTAAACGATAATAAATCCTTGACTAATAACTATTAGGTCTCTATAACTAACCCGTGGACTATATCGCGGAACTAGGGTATAGTAAAATATAAATCCTTATATAATAACTCGTTATATCCCTTCTAGTTAATATGACCGGCCGATGTTGTATTATAATAGATCTTCAACTCGTATATACGCAAATCTAACATCCACTATATTAGGTTGTGGCTCCCTTAGACTATGAATTTGTCTATTATTATTGTAATAAACTCTAAACACCCGGGCCTATAGGCTCGTGCTACTACTACTACTACTACTAAATCGGCGCTGCCGTCGCTGTTATATCCGCTATCGCTATTAAACTTATTATCTTGGAATAGCTCTAACAACTCTAACGCCTGCTAGACAATCATGAACCGGGAAACTTTGATGACTGCGGACAAAATTAGTGGATATAGCTCCGGCCCTTTCTAACCGCCTTTCTTAACCCCTAAAACGGCTAATGCGCAAACTAACATGCTATTATATTCCTTGCGGCTAATAGTTTAGTTTAATAACTAGATGTAAAATCCTAAATATACTCTTTATATTACTATTAACTTCTCTAGCTAATCGTTCTGCTTATTCTCCTTATCCTGGTTCTGGGCCTCTTCGTTATTGTTGCTATGTTCGCTACCATCGCTGTCTTCGCCGTCCTTAATATCCTCCTTCTCGTCCTCCTCTTCCTCCTCGCTATTCTCTACGTCCTCGATATTCTCCCCCTCCTCCTCCCCGCTGACTTTCCGCTCTGCCTCCTTTACTGATACCTCCCACCTCTCGCTGTCGGCGGGTGAACCGGTACTTGGGACTCTACTAATCGTGCTCTTTCTGCGTTTAGGCAAAAAACATTAATATCTGCTTCCATGGCCGAATATGATCGCCGATCGACTTCTTATCTATATACGGCTATAACGGCTAGTATCTCGTCTAGTGCTTCTCCGTCCGGATCGCCTCTAACCGCATGAATACACCAACCCGCTTAATAATAGACGCCTAGCTAATCCTCGCTAACTCATCTATAGCTTCCTAAATCGCTCTTTCTATAGCTTTATCGGGCTCCTCTTCTACCTCCCTATAGGACCTCCTATCTCTATCCGGCTCTACCACAGTAGGCTCCCTAATGTAACCTAATAACTCTAGCCTCTATAATCCGCTTAAATACGGCTGCCACTACGTGCGCTCTAACTACGGGTTCACCTCGTCCCCCTCTCCTTCTTAGATGCTATTATAGGCCTTCTTCTCTATCTTTGCCTACTGCGCTGCAATCTTGCTACGAACCTGCGTCTATAATGCTTCGCCGCTAGCTGCTAGCTCCTACTATCCGCCTTCTAGGGCCTCTTCTAGCTAACGCACCTTAAAATACTGCGATCCGTGTTGGCGGGTAAAAAAACGCTAGTAATGGACTACTTTTATAGCCTTATGTATTCGGCTCTCGATCCTTAACCCTTTTATCTTCCCAGACCCTCCACGTTTACATGCTACGGACCACTAATGCTCCTTACGCCAATACTCCTTTATACTACTCAAATCCCGGTAAACGTAATAGTAACGGGTTAGCTCTAACTAGCATAACAAACTATCCTGGTATAATGGTAATTAGCTAATCGGCTGTATTACAACACCTAGGACCTGTAACTCGGTCGGATATCTGATTAAACCGGGCTACTCTTAGACGCGTTCTGTAATTAATACGGTATTCTAGCGTTTTATCTTGTGTTATTTCCCTTGCAGATGACCTTATATCTACTCTAGCTATACTACATATCGACATTCCTTGCAAATCGCTAATTGATACTCATTTAAATGCTTAAAAAATTCCCCTTCTATATCGGCTCTTTGCATGTTGGATATGTCTGATATTTAACCCTAACCACCGGGTTATGGTAATGGGTTACAGCTTATGGGTTGCGACTTATGGGTTATGGAAACGGGTTCTGGAAACGGGTTCTGGAAACGGGTTCACAGGGGTTTATGGATAGGTACCGAGTTATGTGTAAGAACGCCGTTGCCTTCTTGTTACTCCACCAGCTTGGGCCTCCCCATTAACCAACTCGGACAACGGCCGCTTTCTTGCCGCCAAGTAGACCCGAAATCCTAGAAAGCTATGCCACTCGCGACTAATAGCTCGATACTCCGCCCTCCTCGCCTCAACATGGCCCGGCGCCTCCTCCAATCCCCGTGCATATATCGTTCCAGCGATCCAGGAGGTATGGTTTGCCTAGTTGTTCACGTTGGTGTCGTCCATTCCGTAGTCCCGTTTGAAACCGCCGCACTTGAGATGAATGCGTGATATTGCAATTACGGCGTGCCGGTAAAAGGTGATATTCATAAACGTCTTCAAGTGCGTCTCTGCTTCTCGCTTAAGCACCGCAGTCAGCCGGGAACTGTCCCAGCTCTCCTGGCCTTTGGGCCACAGAAATGGCGAAGGAGGATCCTTCTTGCTAAAAGCTAGCAGCTCCAGCTTCTGCCAAAATGGAAGGATTAGCTATAGGTAGTAAACGACTAGCTCGCTAACCTCCTTTAGCAGATAACGGTGGATGATTTTCGTGGAGCCAACAATGTTGTAACCCTTATGGTATGCCGTCACCGTGCTGACCAGACCGTCTTCAACAAAGATACTCCGGTGGTGCCCATAGACGGTGTTGCAATGCCGCAAGCTAAGAATCTCTATACCTCGAGCAGGCTACCCTGAAGTAAGGTGGACGAGGAGGAGGAGCCGTTCAAGAAAGCTATCGATCTGGGAGATGTACTTCTTCACCGCCGCAGGCTTCCAAATCACTTTTAAGTCCTTTTGCCGCACTTCCAGGAACTCTACTCGCAACTAATCACTCTTTAGCACCCGATCAAGCAACCACCGTTTACTATTAGGTAAGACGCTTTTATTACGGGGGTCCTGAAGAAAGCTCCACCCTTTAGTATTTTGGGTTGGATCGTCCTTAAGGTCGCGTAGCTGGAAAGTCGGTATTACCTCTTCTCGCTCTTCCTCCTGATGTAAAAGAAATAGTTCTTCCAGTTACAACTGCGCCAGCTCTACCTCCGCGCGAATAAAGTCCTTAAAGTGGGCCATCGTCATTTCGAGCTTTTTGTACGTTAGCTTCTCATGGTCGTCCGACCAGTAGATGTAACCTAGGCTGGTGGTAGTGTTCCGGATCTTTTTCCTGTAGGCTCGCAGTCGGAGCACCCAGTTGAAGGGCGACCGGCTCCCGTGGATCATGAACCGTTCCCTCATCTCGTCCAAGACGTCCGCCGGATAGTCAATCTCCCCATATTCTGCTATCATTACCGCCCTTTGGATAACAAGCATCTATGCTATCTTGACGAAGGCCGACAGGTATCCCGTGTATGAGTATGCATCCCTAAAGATCTTCTTCTCCGGATCCACCCCCAGCACGGCTAGAAACCCGACAATGACGCTCTCGAAGAGATCACCTTTTAGGGTGTGGTCCAGCAGCGAGATGCAGAACAAGAGGCATGCACGGTCTAGCTGGGACTGGATCTCCTTACGAAGCATATCCCGGCCCTCCCAATGCTTCTCCGCCTCTTGCTTCTCCTCATTCTTCAAGGCTAGCAGCTCCTCTCCATACCCTATCATCTGGTCGAGGTGGGTGAGCTGCGCGGTAGTCAACTGGTGCGATAGGGTAACACGCTGCGCTGGCTGAACGGTGCGGAACGCGAAGCAGATCAGCCGTTGCCAAACCAGCTTGTAGCCTCGGTACGTCGACTTCTTAAGCTTGATCATCAATGGCCGGTCCCAAGCTCTTCTGCGCTGGATGAAGCTGTTGATCCGCGCCTGGTCAAACACGTTCACTTTATCGTCACATACGGACTTGTGCGCTTCCTCGACAATCCGGTCAAGGCTTTAGGCAAACTCCGCTAGCAAGGGCTCAGTCGCGGGATCGGCCGGAGATCCCAAGGGAGCAACCTCATCGAACCTGTAACCTCGGAGGTACCGAGGCCATCGTGTCATCTCGAGCCATAGGGACACTTCTGTCTGGGCGGCGTTATCCAAGATGAGGTTCTCCGACGCGTCTACTTCTTGCAGGCCCTCCTCCAGCATCCCGTCAACCTGGGCCGTTACAAAGTCTGCCTCGGGGAGCGCCTGCGCCATCTCGCGGCGCCGCCGGGCATCTTCCTCCTCCTAGAGCTGAGCTGGCGAGACGACGGCGAAGAATCCGCTACCGGGGCCACTGACGAAGAAACGCTGGCATGCCACCTTCTTCCAACGCGGCGGAGCGGCTACGAGAGCCTTGGGTTGCCCACCTCTGCGACGTTTTCCTGAGGTATGCTCCTCTTGACAATGCTTACGCATGCAAACCTCCGCACGCGCGACGTACGAACACTGCAGGCAACCAAGGCCATCATGAATTGGAAGGAAAGGGATGGCAAGCGAGTCGGGCGCGGGAACCGGGAGACGAGTGTGTTTAGGATTGAGCAGCGGCTTCTGCCTAAGCTCTGTCGCTAAAAGACGCACTTTCTGTTTAGAATCAAGCTTTGGGTGGTCGACATGACGCGTCTTCAGGTGGTTTTCATAGTGGTTGGGATTAACAGCAAAACCGCAGGTGACACAGACCCATACTTGATAATCCTCTAAGTATCGAAGAAGGTCCATTGCGCACGAATTTCTGCAAAGGAAGCAGAAGATAGGAAAATCACTATGTTTAAAGAAAGTGGTGCGCAGCAAGACGCGTTCGCGTCCGCGTAGAACCAAACAAAACACGTGCAACGCGTAACGCTAACTACCAACATGCCAGGCGACTTAATGTCTCCGGAGGCTAGTTCCTAGCAGGAAACAGACTTTTTTTAATAGGCCTGATGGGGCTTAATGAGCTTGATAGAGGCGCATGTGGACGTTTGAGATTACGAAGGGGGCAGCCGGGGGCTGAAGGCTGGAAAATAAGCGAGCGAATCAGAGGTCGGAGTGAATGGGGTGTGGGCTGGGTTGATTCGCGCATGTATCTCTAGGGTGCAGGCGACGGGCGGTAGATGGGATACATAGAGGTAGGAGGACGCGCAGGGTGGCCTGGCGACGCGTGGTTGTCGCTGGACGCGTCCAGGTTCGTGTTCGCGTTGGCGCGGCCATAATTGATTTAGTTAGTTAGTTAGAAGGGTCGGTGGACGAAGGCTTCCACGGACAGGCCTAGCGGCATAGAAATCCGGAGGCGGGAGATTGCGTTATTACGCGGGGGGGGGGGGGGGGGGGGGGGGGCGAGTAGTTGGTGTTGGTGTAGGCGCGGGCAGTTGGTGCGGGCAGGGTGATGGTTCATGGAAGTGTCAGTCAGTTAGTCAGTCAGTTAGTCAGTCAGTTAGTCAGTTAGTCAGTCAGTCAGTCAGGTCCTGCGTTTCCCCCAGCGTATGTCCTGCGTTTCCCCCAGTGTAGGTCCTACGTTTCTCACAGTCACGGAACTAACTTTCGGTAGCATCCATCGCGCATATACTTGAGGAACCTTCGTGTCTTCGTGCGCTGCAGGCGCTGCACACCCAGCTCGAACCTTGAGCTCAAATCCACAAGATTGCAAATATCCGAGCAAGGTATCTTCAGTCGCTGTATGTAGCGACTCACCAAAGTTCCGCTGGAGGGGAATCACTGCAAGGATCTTTGTGGGTAGCAAGTAGCGGAAGTATCCTCTCGCATGTAGTCTGCGATGCTACAGTCAGTTTCCTTCGAGACAGTAAGTCCCATTGGCGGAGGTAGCGTCCAGCTGCACTATCACCACTGCCCGGTAATTTCAGCCGACGCGGCCCCAAGGTCGAACGCTTGACGTAAGCACTATCCTACTCCATCACAACTCGAACGTGATATCCCCCGAGTCACGAGAGAACGAGGGGGAGGAGACTATCGCAGACTGCAGCACCTATACACGCTCATGTCAGATTCGATCACGTGGTTCTTGCACCGCCGCTGGTTGACTCTGGAGCGGGAACACTTATTGCGCTCAACCTTGGACATCTCACACGCCTCACGACTGCCTTGGGCTAGTATTGTAGGTGCTATACTAATGGACCAGTCTTATCGGAGGTGCCACGTTGGGAGGTCAGGTTTGTCGTAAACGTTGTGTTATGGTAGTTCCGTCTTGCACTCTATAATCTCTATCTAGGTAATGCGTCGTACTCGTGAGATCTCGTGTCTAATTGCATCAGCAATACTCTCTAGAATATGGCATATCGTGACCTTCGCTCTACGCGTGATAATGGTGGCATATACTCGTGATCCTGTCAAGAACGACTTCGTGAAAACTGCAGACGGTCTCCTTCTCTCCTGCCAACAACCCTCTCTATTTTTTGCCGCATTGCGGCGTCTTTACTCTATAAATCAGCCCATATTCACTCAGCCCATATATCTGTATTTTCTACGACCGCAGTCTTCTGATCTATCGTCTACCTGTATCTTTATCACGATGGCCCTCCCAGTGGACGACTAGGCTATATAGCTTGCGGAGTCTGAGGATGCCTCACGTCTTCTTAAAGACATTAAAGGGACGAAAGAGGAGTTGGGGCAGCAGGACTGCCTAGTGGACAGCTTCAAGGCGCTTACACAGCAGATGGACGCATAATTCGACCAAGTCGGTGCCCTTGATCCCTCCCCACTTATCTTCCGAGTTAGAAGCTTACATTAGCCACAACGAAGCTTGAAGTATTCCTACGGCAAAACAAGCGCTCGGTGGATGTAGCTATAAGCGGCAATGCCGCAAATCCTATACACCAAGGTCCCACGGATAGGCAGGATCGTGCCTCGGAATCTTAACCATCCAACGCAATGCGTCCCATACCAGAGTCGTCTACAGGGCCTTCGGACGAAAGCTTCCTATTATCCCTTACGCAAGGTGACCATACAGCAGCCGACTATAGTGCATAAGCGCTAATAGCGCCTTCTCTCTAGCCTGTGTCCGTCTCCACACCTCTACGCAACGGTTTGTTATTAAACCACATATATACGTAAGTAGGAGGCGTCTGACATTAGTGTCTAGGCGCGATATCCACACCACTCCGGTAGCCTTCCTACATAACCAGAACGCCCACCCCCAAGCGAAGAGCAGACACGCTAGAAATATCGCCTACATTACAGCCGTCATAACTAGCTAAGCGTTCCTAAAGACGATCGTCTTCCAGCAGCACCACAGTTGCAAGGTACGCCTTGGAGTTATAGGACCCGTCAACGACGCTACTGGGAGCGAGGCTATTGAGCGACCTTAATAGAGAGACGGAATCCGTCCTCACACAGTAGATGTCCTTTTACAGCCAAAAGCCCGAGTTTTGAAGCTATGTCGAGAGGGCCGTCTTTAAAGATAGGCTTATCTACATCAGCGACCTGATGATATCGAAGAAGGCTGTAAACGCGGAGTGGGACTGTGACCACGCGTGTAAGCAGCCTCTCGTAATACTATAGGAGATAGCTGCTTACAGTATATAGTATAATTATGTATAGTAGGCTTAAGGCCTTATATTATGTGGTCGGAAGAGCGCAAGTCGTTCCAGGTCCTTCCCTTACCTGAAGATAGGCGTGTGGGTAATATCCACGACTCGTCCTTCTAGGTGCGTCGTATTCGTCCACCTCCATAGCCTAGTATGTTAGCACTTTGACTGCGATCCTTCTTAGCATTATACAATTTGCATAGAGATGATCTAGTATGACTATCTACACATGGAGTAATGAGATGTTGAAATGTTTAACGGCTGCGCAGATAACCGCTCTCTATCGCAAGTCTCTTAGGTGATAATATCTACTCACCGCGCACCTGCGCTCAATCTCACTTTAACAAGCTCTACGCTATTATCTATGGATACTCCTAGCAGCTTTCGAGCTCGTATAGTGATATCTATAGGGACGCATGAATTGTCACCGCGCCCTAGTTTACCGCTAGAGCGAGCTGTAAGGAGGTGTCCAAGTAGTTGCATAGTCAGAGTCGATAGCATGTCGGTAGTTAGTAAGACATCCACGGGTAACTCATGCTATACGCTTTAACAGTTAATCGATTGGAGGCAAGTTGCAATAGAGCTTATCTGCAGCCTTGTTATAGTTACCGCATATGTGGAAGAGATAGAAGTCCTATGTCTCTTATCGAGTCTATTATACAGTGTGAAGTTGTCTAACCTACTTGACCCTCCGCTTAAAATCACCCGTTGGAACTAGCTAGTAAGAGCTGGCCTATAAGTGCCTTGAAACAGGCACCAAGCACCGCATATTAGAGGTTTGGTGTTGTCTTCAGACACGATTGCAAGACCATCAAAGCCCACGGCAATTATAAGCGTGAATATTAAACGAAGCTGGAAAGGAGAAGCGCGCGGGCAACGCGTTCGACGAAGAAGATTCTAGCACTTAAGAAGCGGCAGCATCGCTTAACACAGACGATAAAGCGCTAAATACTAGAATAGATAGTATATTAGCCGGAATAGGAGGTGCGATGAAGAGTTGACTAGAAGCCACTATAGTAGGTAGCGTGGACGGCGCTATACTAGGTGCAGTTGCTAGTGTCACACTAGGCGCGGTAGCAGGCGGATGCTGAGAGATAGTTAGCAGGTGTAAGAGGTGATAGAATTAGCTAAAGCTTACGTCTTCGTCGTCCTAAGTGGCACGCGGCTTGATTACGTCCTGGAATCAATAGCAGGTGGGTGGCCTAGGGGTTAATAACTAGGTTAAGAAGGGCACCCGCCGCCGAGGAGCTAATAGCGCTAGAGCAGATAGCCAAGCTAGGGCCGGACGATTTGCGGTAGACCTAGGAGTATCCCTTACGTTGGGACGAAAGCGTGTGATTGTTTCTTAATTAGGAACGGCCTAGACAGAACGTTAGCAAAGGCGTAGGATGTATGAAGCAATGACGCGTAGACTCACCCATTAGACCAGTATGCTGTTAGTATGGCACGTCGCCTCTTGGTACGTGTAGTGCGCTCTTGGGTTCATGCCTCAAACATATTCGCAGAATTGCGAGAATAATAATAGCTTATCCTTCACCGCCGGCGTTAGTTTACTGTATTTAGTCCTCTATAGCAATATGTGGCCAAAGTAGAAGTTGAATTCTGCAGCGCGACTTAGAGTAACGTTCAGCTACAGAGCGTCTCCATTGAAACTAAGAGCTCCAGGGTTTTCTTCATCTATATAGACAAAGTTAACGA